CATTTTTTAATTAGCTCTTAAACTTTTATTTTAAAAGTTGTTAAGTTTAAATAAAGTCATAAAAACCCAACAACTGTTTTCTCTAGAATATGCTGTGAAGTGTGGATTATAGGACAAATAGAATTATCAACACTTAGTGTATTGTAGATCAGGTTTCTACTTGAGAGTTCAAATTCATCATGTTTGTACATGAAATTTGATATTAAATTGTTTCATTTTTAAGTGGTAGCCATTAATACTAGAAAATTCAAATTTGGCAGTTTTTGTAAATAAGCTTTAGTTTTTCATGGATTTTGTAGCTTTATTACAGCTGATTTGACCTAAAGTCTAGACAGATCAACTGTGCCCTTGGGTTAACGGTGTTTATCATATGATTTCCTTTTCCTTCCTTATTGCACTTTATCTGTTTCCAGTTCACAGTGTTGATAAATAGATAACTGTGCTCCTCATACTTCCTCTTTCTTATAGGCAGATAGCTTTTCAAAATGAAGGGCCAGACCTAGCTCAGTATTTTACAAAATAAGCATGTTTTTCAAGTTCTTACTTGACAATTTATAGTTCTTATTCTTCATAAGACTTTCTGTTGAGAGAACCCACAGAAGCCAGGCACCTCAATTTTCAAAAGTAAAATTGGCTTTATTGATGAGAAAAGTGTACATTTTATAATAACTGTATAATAATGATACAACATCCAGCTCTATAGTGGGTCGAGGAGAACTAAATACATATTAAATAAAATAAAATTATTTTGGATTACATAGTCTTCTCTCAAAATATCAAATTTAAATGTAAAGCATGTAAAATAGTCCTGTGGATGCTTCCTCAGTCATGGGTGAAATTCTTTTTGTTTAAATTTAGGTTTAGAGCTCTTTTATGGAGTCACTGTACCCCCAGGCCCAAGTGAGACCCTTTTTAGTACTCTAAGTGAATTAGCTAGTAGATTTATTAATGACTTAAGGAGCATCTCCAGCCAGTCCCAACTAGTATGAAGGGAAAATGAAATATTTCTGTATTCTGTAACATAGAATTGGACCTATCCCACTGGAGAACACAGATGTGCCATTCACGAAGTAAAAAGAACTTTAAAATTAAAAAAAAATAGTAAAAAAAACCCCAAACACTCTATAGTATATCTGCATCTGGAATAGTGCTAATAGTAACTTCACCCAATGTGACTGAAACAACTCTAGCAAGTACATGATCTGTGTGGGAATCTGAAGACACACCACTTAACAACTCAGGATCTGTGCTGTCCTTTAAATCAAAACACAAATAAGGACTAGAACAACATCAGTATGCATCCATTTCTGTCTTCCCAGCCATAAGGAAAAAACTGACTGTAACATTTTTTTAACTTAGAGTTGCAAACCTCATATATAAGGCTCTGGTCATCAGCAGGATCTTCTTAGAATACATAAAAAGGTGATAAGTGCATACATGTGATTGCTAAGACCATCACACGGCACCTTGGTCCAATTCCAGTTGAGTAATTACATTCATTTTGTCCTTATTTTCCTTTCCCTGATTGTTTCAGTTAAATGTGGAAAAATGATCCTTCATTTTTCACCCAGAGAAGTTCGGCAGTATTGCTGCATGTATTATTTAGACTCTACTGCCTTCCTTTTTGGTCATAGGAATGGGGCTTAAAAGTGCTGGTTAGAATTGTTATTGTGGCTATTACTGTTGTTGCAGCATTTCCTGATTCAGAAATGTTCTGTGAACATCGAGCACATGACTGACTTTTGGATGAGCTGCTGAACTGTAGGGTGATGTCTTGAACAAGCCTCCTTTATCACCTTTCTCCCTGCCTAGCTTAGTCCCTTCGCTTAGACATGCTTTCCCTTTTCATACAACTGTGATAGCACTATTAGTTCCCTTTTATCAAATGCTTACTCCTTGGCTGGCACTGTGCTAGTTCCTTTATATGGCTGAAACATATAACCTGCATAGACGACCTCATAGGGTGAGTAACATGATCACCATTTTACAGACAGAAAATTTAAATTGCGTAGGATCACAAAACTAAAGACAGGGAGCTGGAATTTGATTCCAGGTTTGTCTGATGGCAAAAGCTAAGCACTTAACTACCACCCTACCTCATAACTCTACTGGTTCCCAGAACTCTGAGCCCCAGTCTATGGATCATTGATCACACAAATAGCTTCTTAGCTTCTCTTACTGTTTATCACCAGTTCACACAGGCTGACCCCACTGACCTCAACGTTGGAATCATCCTGCAACACTGGTCTCAGAAGGGCAATGCTGATTATGTTTACAGGCCACCAGGAAACTGAACTGCTATTGAGAGAATCTCTATGCTGAATCATTTTATCTGCATAACAAAAGTGGTTTGCTCTATCTTCTTTTCTTTCCCTGGTGGTGTTGTCATAACAGTGCTTTTAGCAGGATTAACCAGTAACTAACTTATTTGCTTTGGTTTCCAATAAATAACTGCAGCCTGTTAATAATTGTGCATGTGTTTTATGTGGCCTCAGATAAACTGAGACAATCTTACACATCTGCGTTCCAGATTGGGTCACTATTCCTTCATACTTAATCTCCTATTATGTAACTGTCCATTAACAAAAAATAGATCACACAAGGAAAAAACTTAAATATTTAATTTGCTAGTGCATTAATAGGTGACACTAATACACATGACTTTTTATTGTACCTAAAGATAAGTGTTTGCTTAGAAATATAAAAAAATAAACCTAGTGTATGTTTTCTTGCTTTCAAGTATACCAAATCTGTCACAAATGCCTTGTGTATTGTGTTTACATCTTTATGTGAGCTCTGTCTAGACATTTTTTAGTGTTTTTAAATTGTTAGCTCAGTGAGGGTAAGGTGTGTCCTAATTTATCTTTTAGCACGTTGCAATGCCAAACACAGCACCGTGAAGGTAGTATATGCTCACTGAATGTTACTGAATTAGTGAATAAGGCTGTACTAGGTTGAAGAGATTTGCAGTCCTAAATTATTCTTGCCATCATTTCACTCTGCATAATAAGTAAAGAAGTTTTACTAAGATGATTAAAAATGTGTTATCGAATTACTTGTGTAGATTCCAAAGCAGTGGGATAAAAGACCCTGGCTATGCCCCTTTGAGGAAGCAGTGAGGGTGTTTCTTGCTGTAGGCACAGTTAGTGGGTTTTATTTGTGACTGAATTAATTTATTTCTGTTAGGAAGGTTACATTTATGAATTCCATATAGCATTTTATAACCTTTTCCTTTTACCCCTACCCTGCCTACTGTTATCTTTTCCTATTATAAAAGTAATGCTTATTGTAGAGAATTTAACTATATACGAAAGTAAAAAGAAAAAATCACCCAAAATCTTATTATCCAGATATAATCACTCTTAATACTGTGTTTTGTTCTTTGCTTTTTCTTATTCATATAATTTCATACTGTTCATGTAATTGGTACCATATGTTTATATAACATTTTAGCATCATAATACTATAAATTTGCATTTTTCCATAAAATTTAAAATATTCTTTAAAGTACTTTGTTAAATTTTGCCAAATATTCCTTTATATAGATGTGCTATGCTTTATTTAATTATTCTTCTATTAGATATTTAGGTTGCTTATAGTTTTTTACGATCATAAAAATTATCTTTTTTACATAAATTTCTGTTGGTTTTCTGTTATGTTTGATTCCTGGGACTAAAAGTACTGAGTAAAAATATTGAACTTTGAGTTCTTGATACATAGTAGTCAATGGGTTTCTAGGAACCCTTTTGTAATCCACATTTCCATCAGAAGTATATGAAGATGCTATTTTATTGAGCCGTCATCAAAATTATTACCTCTATATACTTTTAAACAAGTATTATAAAGTAGACTTACTGACTATAATGTGTTGCTATCATCAGCTGTGCTCAGAAGAACTATATAAATTAAACATGTCAGTTTGCTTTCAAAAAGAATTTTTTTTTGAGATGGAGCCTTGCTCTTGTCTCCCAGGCTTGAGTGCGATAGCATAATCTCGTGTCACTGCAACCTCTGCCTCCAGGGTTCAAGCGATTCTCCTGCCTCAGCCTCCTGAGTAGCTGGAATTACAGGCTGGGGTTACAGCCTACCACCACACTCAGCTAATTTTTGCACTTTTAGTAGAGATGAGGTTTCACCATGCTGGCCAGGCTAGTCTCAAACTCCTGACCTCAGGTGATCAGCCCACCTCAGCCTCCCATATGCTGGGATTACAGGAGTGAGCCACCACACCTGGCTAGAATTAGGAAATATTTTTAAGGGTACTAGTAGTTCCAAAGCTGCACATTTCAATACAGTTTCCACCTAAATCCAAGTGTTTTTCAGGTCTAATTGTAAACTGCTACTTTTGTTTAATGTGGACTTACATAGTCTTCTGTATCAATACCTACTTCACTGGCAGTTTTGTCAAAGTGTGTTGGATTGAGGCATTTTGCATTATATCTGATGTGGTGTTAGCATTCCTTCTTGTAGCAATCAATTTCATTTCTATTTGCTGTTGTAACTTAAAGTTAATGAACATTCAAAGTTTACTTTTATTTATTCATGCATTTTTTTGTGGACTGCTCTACAAAAGCGCCTTTCTTCCTCACCAACATTCTATCCAAACTGAGTGCAGATGAATCTGAGTAGTTTCATTTTAGAGAGCAGCAGTCATATTTGTATTAGGAAGGCAATAGTCTTGGAAGAATACCAAAAAAAAAAAAAAATCATTTTAAAGTGTTTGCCTTGTCCTCTAGCGAAAGCATTTGCGTTTCAGAGGCCATGGTGAGTCAGAGTCCCTTGCTGGTGCTTATGATACACTGCTAAGGGACTCTGCGTGTGTGTGTGTGTGTGTGTATTCAGATATATGAAATATCCTATGGGGAAAATATTGATAAAAAATAATTTGCCTCTTTATGCACTGAAACTTTTCCTACTTCTCTGCAGGAATTGTTGCAACATAAATACTGGTTTCAACTTAGTAAATTAATTTTTACTTATATATTTCTTTTACATTTCAGAATACCTGATAAATTGCAAGTTTGTGCCCCACAGCTGCACAGGTATGTATATGAATTACCTATAACTATGTAAATATATATATTAACTAAGAAGTTATATTTTTATGTATTAAAATTGCTTATAGATTTCATAATGTAAACATGTTAATTCTTGATTACTTACAGATAATGACAGTTTCAAAGGATAGTATATTTTATACATATATTTTATTTTATTCTATTGTGAGAATCAGGTAAACATTTCTAAGATTTGATGAGGCAGAATAATTTTAATTACAAAGCATTCATCTGGTGAAGAGATTATTTTATGGAATTGTACTATTAAAGTGAATGGTGATGTGGAGTCAGACCATTGCAAAACCACAGTTTTGTCATTATTGTTTTATTCAAACTTTTTTTTTGCTGCTTTTGAGTTTATTTTCTGTGATGGTTGCTTTAGGTATGGAGTGGTTGCAGATGTACTGTCTGCTGCACTGTCTCAAGCACTAGACGAATGGGAAAAAAATGTTTGCACCTGTTTAAAATCTCAACCATGCGGTGTTGTGGTTCCTGGGCAACAGGCAGGAATTCTCAAAAGCTTGGTTGCACCTGCTCAATTGTTGCTTGCAGCTGTGTCATATGAGTGAGAGCACAGAGAAGCTTGTTAGCAGTGTGCTTGTGCTCTTACGTATTTTGTGTACACTGACTCTGAAAGATTCTTACTTGATGTAGACCTTGAACTGTTACATTGGTTTATTCTAAAACTCACCGGTTTTAGCTTCTAAATATTTTCTTTAAATCCTCTGTTTTATGACTCAAAATATATTTTTTTAGTAGCTGTTGACTGCCCTAGATAATGTGTATGCCAACTTCTCAAAAGAATACCTGGGAGAGTATATCTCTTCAGATAACTGGGTTGATAATAATTTTTGTCCTGGTAGAGACATTTTGTGCTTGGCTCAATTTCACCGTGTTGGCAGCCCCACTATGTGAGGCTGGATGTAGTTATTGATCCATTTAGCTGAACAGATTTGAAAGCATTTGGCTATTAGTGGACACATGGGGCATATTCAGAAAATTTAAGGGTATATTGTAAGATAATTTCTTAATTCGTGTATGTGTTTCTGTTGCTGTTGGAGTAGAAGTGAGAGAGAAAAAAAGTGAAGATTAAATAGTAATTCTAAAAGAGGGGCTAAAATCCAGATGTACATTTTATGGAATATTATTCTTTAATTTAACAAATGCTAGATGCTTGGTATTTTTCATAAATGTTACTGGTAATGGTATTAAATTTATTTTAGTTATGACTTTGTATGTTTTCTGACAGATATCTATATATTTGATATAGATAGGCTATTATAGATTGTATATTTTACTAGTAGGTAAAGTTCTATAAATGCAATAGGAAACTGCAACTCAATATTAAAGATATTTAATTTATTCAGTAGGCTCAAATTTCTAATATTGAAAACATTCAAATGACTTGCATTACTCTCCTTAATGTATTCTTTTAAATGCTGAGGAGTGTCCGTCGGTATTTAGTAACATAAATCTGAAGTCTTAGAGTTGGTTTATCTTTTCCTTTTATTGGCCCATTTGGAATCCTTTTTTTTGTATTTTTAACAAATCAGTTTGGTATGAATTTAACCATCCTCTTTGAAAGTAGGAAACACAGTACAAAGGTAAGTAGAGGATTGCCACAGCCTCTTATACAATGCCTTGTACATAGTAATTGATCAGTAAATGTTGAATGAATGCATTTATGAATAAAACATTTCTGGAGCTAGAAATAGAGGGATTGTGTCCTAAAATCTTATTACTTGTTATACAGTTTGGATGAGTCTTGATAGACTTACTTTAGTTCTCATACTGCCAGTTATACAGAGATGAGAATACTGATAAATTCTGTCCTTAAAATGAGAAATTAATGTGTAAGAATTGATCCTCTTTGACTATTTTAATGAAGAATTGAAATAACACTATTTGCAATATGCTTTAAACTAAGTTTTACTTACTACAAGAAGTCTGTATATTATTTCCATTATACATATAAGGCTGAGGCATTCATGGCTAAGTTACTTGTCACCTTGGAAATACTTTGCAGCATATAAATAAACAAATCATCTGTGTTATATGGTTAATGCCTCGTCTTTCCTGAGCACTGGCTTGTGCTCTCTCTCTCCCTCCCTATCGCTATCTCACTAAAACACAAAAATAAAATGTGTGTTTAATTCCTTTGGGTCAGTTAAGATCAGAATATTAAAAATCTGTAATTATTTTTCTAAGCAAAAGTAATGGACCCTGTGTTTACTGTATACATATTTATAATTATGGTCTCTATGACTCACTAAATTTTAACTATAAATAGAGGTAAAGCCAAGCAAGAGTAGAGTCAAAAGAGAGCAGTTAAGACTTGCTTTAGATAGATCATTCTAGTGTTCCATTTTGTGTGGCATAAGCCCGTCACATAAGATTGGCACAGTTTACATCATACGCCAGTATCTATTGCATTAAAACCTTTTGTTTAGGCTTCTCAAATTTCAGTACCACTGGTTTATGACATACGGACTTTTAGGCTTGGAACTACCTTTCCTCTGGGAACAGTTTTTCTTTTACCTCAGTTCACACCAGTGGGCAAGAGTCCAATATCAAGGACATCAGTTTTTTCCAGTGAACCTTAGTGTGGTAGATTAAACTCTATCTCTCTGTTAGTCTCAATATTAGAAATGAAGAGATGAGCCAAGAATATATATTTGCTAGAATATTAATCATTAAACTAGACAGATAGTAGCAGCTTTTTGAGGGTCCTGTGTCAGGAATTAGCCTGGAATCTCGAAGGAGGGAGAAATCCCTAGGATTCCTGAGCATTATTGCAGGTTCCCCTGTGATTTCAGGGTTAAGGAAATAAAGAAAGAAAATCCACATTTATTGAGAACATAGCATGCCTAAATATAATTTCTTTTTTTCTCCCTCCTTCTCTCCTTTCCTCATTTCATTTTATTCTGCATAGTGAATGGATGTCTGCTGTTTGCTAGAAATTGTGCTAGGCTAGATGAATACAACAAAATCTTTGTTCTCAAGAGCATACAGGCTAGTGAGAGACAAAGATATATCAATAGAGTTCTTTTTGACTTCACCACTTATTATTAGTATGGTCTCAATCAATTACCTAATCTTTCTGTTCCTTTGTTTCCTCATTTGTAAAACTGGGAAAATAATAGTATCTGTTGTCTGAGAGTTAATAACACACTACATGTAAGATTCTTAGTACACTGGTTGGCACATAGCAAGTACTGAAGAAATCTTAGCTATACTACTGTCATGTCTATAACTCCCAGTTCCACCACCATCACCACTACTGGAATTCACACTCTGAAAAAAGAACACCTAATTGCCTGAGAGCAGGAATCCTGGTCTGGGCATTATCACATAGATTGTATTCAAAGGTTCTATACAAAGTTACCTCTGCTTCCCTGGCCTTAGAAGATATTATAAACATCATGAAGCAGTGTACTGAATCTAAAAGACCTTCATGTGATATTTTTATTATTTTTCCCCAATTTTTGTATTGGGGAAAAATACGCATAACATGAAGTTTACTATCTTAACTATTTTTTGGTGTACAGTTCAATGGTATTAAATATATTTATAATGCTTGCACAGCCATCACCACAATACATCTCTATATAACACTTTCATATTGTAAAACTAAAATACTATACCCATTAAAATATAACTTCCCATTTCTTTCTGCACTCCCACCCCCAGCCCCTGGCAGCCACCATTCTAGTGTCTGTCTCTGTCATTTTGACTTCCCTATGTAGTCATATAAGTGGAATCATATAGTATTTCTGTTCTCGTGTTTGGCTTATTTCACTTAGCATAATGTCCTCAGCATTCATCCATGTGGTAGTACATGTCAGGATTTCTTTCTTTTTTATGGCTGAATAATAATTAATTGCATGTATATACCACATTTTGCCTGTCCATTCATTCGTCAGTGGACCCTTGGGTTGCTTCCATATTTTCATTATTATGAACAATCCTGCTATGAATATAGGTGTACAACTATCTCTTTGAGAACCTGCTTTCAGTGCTTTTGAGTATATACCCAGAAGTGGAATTGCTAGATTGTATGGTAATTCCATTTTCATGTGTTCTTATAATAAGATTAATTTCATTTAAATTGAATAAAGCCTTTTAGGTTGAGTTTGTGAATAGCATTGATTTCCTCATAAGGAGAATAAGTTGAGTTAGGTTTATCGAGAACACATCTACTGCTTATGTGAGTTCAGATGCTTTCAACAAGCCTGTGACTACTTTAAATAAATCAGCATCTTGGAACCCAATGATGCACTTAGGATATCTGGATTGTAAATCTCATGCTTGAGTTTGAATTTAGGAGCTCTGAATTTCTTCCCACTGACCTTTACCAAAAGTCTAGCTCCATTATTCAGCAGCTGTGTGACCTCATTGAGGTCGACTGAGCTTACTAAGCCTCAAGCTTTCCCATGTACAGTATGGTGGTAACAACACCTACCTTTTTAATGGTGGATATGTGGATTAAAGTAAGTCAGGGATACAAAATACTTTATTTTGTGCACCACTACCACCTATATATTATTGCATAGTAGTCTCTATATATTATTTTTTCTTCTTTCCTCCTGTCAAAATATAAAAAGTGTTATAACGAGTAGTATAGGAATTTCAAGGAAGTGTGGGACACTTACATTAAGAAACTTAACTTTGGTCAAGTTATGGCTCTGGTGATATCTGTTGATTGTCTCAGTTTCACATAGTTAGACTCATAATTTCTAACTATACATGCTGCATTTCTGTAGAAGGCTACGGCTGTTTAAAGAAAACCAAGATGGGGATGCTCACATTCACTTCAATGTCTGTTGATTATGGAGGTGTGTCTTGCAATAGAAAGCCCGTTGACACAACCCAGACAACTCTCATCCCTCTTCTGAAAGTCAGATATCCTTAAAAGCAGTCTCTTGCAAATGATGAAGAACCTATGCTTGATGAGTTACTTTCACATGCATCAAAGTGACTTAAAA